AGAATAGGAATTGTAGCCCAGAGGTTTAAAGCAAAAGTTCATGAACGGGGATTTATGGCCACATTTCAGGTGGGTGGGTGGGCTCTATGAACTTAGATGAGAAACAAATCACAACTTTACATTATTATATTATATGTATCTTATTTTTAATGTCTTGATAACTGTTCTTGAGCCTTTGTGACACATATATATTCATGTATTTAGGCACTTAAATGCATCTTCCTAAAAAGTGGTCTCAACAGACTCTCGAGGGAATTCGCGGCACCAAAAGGTTAAGAAACAGATCTAGGTCTATTCTACAAGTGGAATGCTAACATAATACTCTTTTTCTTTGTTTTCCCACAAGGGGGAGCTTTTAAGACACTGAGACTTAAGAGTTGATAGCTTTTCTATCTCTGCAGAGCAGCCTCCAGCTTTCCAACCCTTTCTCCACTCTGAGTCTCCCAGAATTATTGGAATTATAACTCCCAGTAATCCAAACCATACTGACAACAAATATGATAAAAGTTCTTTATTCACTTGAATTTTTAGGATTTCTGAAATGCCCCCCCCCTTCTAGAAAATGCCTTTAATGCTCTTAAGCAGCCCCAAGCTCGATGCCAGGAAAAATCAATTATATAAACTTATAAATGTTGAATGAATATCTCCTGCCTACATAAATGTGTTTGAAAATAAAATGATAATCTTAATATATTTTAAGTGATGTAGTACTTATAAGAGCAAGGTGCTAGGTGCAACAAGAAATAATTGCTGTAACCTGTATAGTAAAATGTACAGCCTTATTTTCATGGCCTCTTAGAAATGTGCATCTAGTCACGAATTCAGTTCTATCTGAACAAAGAGAACAGATTTTCTCAGGTCAACCTGTGTGTGTAACAAACAGCATTGCTTTCCTGAATGTCCAGTGCAACCATCTGTGCTGTTTTCGTTGCTCCTGCCCGGGGCTTCTCAAAACCCTGCGACATTAAGATGTGTGGGAGTTCAAATCCACACATCTTGGAGTTGTCAAGTTTGAGAGATATTGCATTAGACCAGTGGTTCCCAAACTTTTTCAGTCCACCACCCCCTTGGTGCTACAAACTCATCCTCAATGCCCCCCACCCAGAGGCGGGATTCAAATTTCTGGGGGCATGGCCTAATTTGAGGGTGTGGTTTGCTGGTAACGTGATTGGGTGGGTGTGGCTTGCTGGTCACGTGACTGGTGGAGTGGCTTGCTGGTCACGTGACTGGGTCGGCGTGGTTTGGTGACTGGCAAACCAAATACAAGTGGTCCTCACTTAATGGCCGGTTGCTTAGCAAGTGTTCTAATTTATGACTGGCCTTCCCAGAACTACTTGACCTGTTTTTGGAGTTTTGACAGCCATGCACACACATATACACATACTCCCTTCCAACCCTGCTGGAGCAGGTCATTGGCCTAGAATCGGCAAAGCATCTCTGATTAGATTCTAGTAGTGAATAAAATCTAATCAGAGGTGTTTTGCCAATTCTTGTTGATTTGTTTTATTTGTATTTCTTTATTTTATGTTGCTGAATTGCATTGACATGTGTGTCCCTTCTTGTATACAACCCAGAAGCTTTTGTGATTCTTTGCAGCAAAAATTACTGACCTCTAGCTTTGCTCTACTTTTCAAACATGCCGGCACTGCCGCGTTCTTGGTGCTGGCCCTGCAGATCTACCCCATTGATCCCACTGCACTGGAGGGAACTGCCGAAGCAAGTCCAAGCGGAGCGGTGCACCAAATCAATGGGGTGAGCCTGGGAGAGGGAAAGAGAGAGAGAGAAAAGAAAGAGAAAAGGGAAAGAAAGAAAAAGGGACAAAGAAAGGAGGGGATGGAGGGATAGGGGGAGAGAGGGAGAGAGAGACCTGATGCATCAGATTGAAATGAGGCCTGGTTTAGAGGCCCTTTTCCACATTGAAACATCTTTGCCAGCACATTGAAACATCTTTGGCTTCTATAATTAAAGGTTTTGTGGACGAAACATGGCCAAGACTATCAGGAAGCTCTCACATTTTGTTGAGGCTTTAAACAGGATCCATTGGACCAGACCTCCACCCTAAAAAATACTTTTCCCCGATGTATTACAGTGCCAATTCTGCAGAAGGCAAAACCAAAATGTATTGGTAAATTACAAGGAGAACACACACGCACACACTCCCTTCTAACCCTGCTAGAACAGGTGATTGGACTAGAATAGATATCTCATTATCTTTCTCCTCCCTCCCTCCTTTATTTCTTTTTCTTTCTGTCCCTTCCTTCCATCCCCCGCTTTCTTTGTCCCTTTTTCTTTCTTTCCCTTTTCTCTTTCTCTTTTTCCTTCTCTCTTCCTCTCTCTTTCCCTCTCTCAGGCTCACCCCATTGACTTTGTACACCGCTCCATTCGGACTTGCTTGGGCAGGTGCCTCCGGTGCAAGGGGCTCAATGGGGTGGACCTGCAGGGCCTCACCCCGAACGCCGCGGCTGCGGCGGGATGTTTCATAAGGAGAGCAAAGCCACTCTGGCTTTGCTCTCCTTTCCCAACACTGCATTTGGGGCAAGTCCCCACCGCCCCGAACACGGCTGCAGTGGGAGGATGTTTGAAAAGGAGAGCAAAGCCACTCTGGCTTTTTGCTCACTCTGGCTTTGCTCTCCTTTCCCAGTGCTGCGTTCGGGGCGAGGCCACCAGGATCACCCCATTGAGCTCTTTGCACCAGAGCATGTAAGTTAATGGGGTGATCCTGCGGGGCCTCGCCTCGAACGCGATGGTGGGGGGATTTTTTCTCACCCCTGAATTGTGCCCTGCCGCTCACCTCCAGCGTCCCCCTGCCTCCTAGCACCCCCCCTGCCGGCCCCCTTGCCTCTCAGCACCCCCCTAAGGCATCCCACTGCCCACCAGGGGGCGGTACCGCCCACTTTGGGAACCACTGCATTAGACTGACAGCACCTGGAAACAGTTTGCATGAGTGGGTAAAGGAAATATCGTTGATAAATCAGCACAGCAATTGAGAACTGCAGATTACTTAAAGGTACACCTTGATTTATACATTTGTTTAGTGACTATTGAAAGTCAAAATGGTAGTAAAAAAGTAACTTATGGCCATTTTTTACACTTATGGCCATTGTAGTATCTCCATGGTCATGTGATCTAAAATTCAGGTACTTGGCAATTGGCATGTTTTTGGGGCGAGGCCCTGCAGGATCACCCCATTGACTTGCACGCTCTGGTGCAAAAGGCTCAATGGGGTGATCCTGCGGAGCCTCGCTCCGAATGCAGCATTGGGAAAGGAGAGCAAAGCCAGAATGGCTTTGCTCTCCTTTTGAAACATCCCGCCGCAGCCGCGGCATTCGGCATTCGTCCACCCCATTGAGCCTCTTGCACCGGAGGCACCTGCCCAAGCAAGTCCGAACGGAGCCATGTACGAAGTCAATGGGGTGAGCCTGAGATAGAGAAAGAGAGAGGAAGAGAGAGAGAGAGAGAAAGAGAGAAGGAAGAAGAGAAAGAGAAAAGAGAAAGGGAAATAAAGAAAAAGGGACAAAGAAAGAGGGGGAATGGAAGGAAGGGACAGAAAGAAAAAGAAATAAAGAAGGAGGGGGAGAGGGAGGAGAAAGATGAGATATCTATTCTAGTCCAATCACCTGCTCCAGCAGGGTTAGAAGGGAGTGTGTGTTCTCTCTCTCTCTTTCCCTCTCCCAGGCTCACCCCACTGACTTGGTGCACCACTTCGCTTGGACTTGCTTTGGCAGTTCCCTCCAGTGCAGTGGGATCAATGGGGTGGACCTGCGGGGCCGGCACCTAGAACGTGGCAGTGCCAGCACATTTGAAAAGTAGAGCAAAGCCAGAGGCCGGTAATTTTTGCTTCAAAGAATCACAAAAGCTTCTGGGTTGTGCACAAGAAGGGACACACATGTCAATGCAATTCAGCAACATAAAATAAAGAAATACAAATAAAACAAATCAACAAGAATCGGTAAAACATCTCTGATTAGATTTTATTCACTACTAGAATCTAATCAGAGATGCTTTGCCGATTCTAGGCCAATGACCTGCTCCAGCAGGGTTAGAAGGGAGTGTGTGTGTATGTGTGTGCATGGCTGTCAAAACTCCAAAAACAGGGGTAGTAGTTCTGGGAGGGCCAGTCATAAATTAGAACACTTGCTCAGCAACCGGCCATTAAGTGAGGACCACTTGTATTTGGTTTGCCAGTCACCAAACCATGCTGACCCAGTCATGTGACCAGCAAGCCACACCCATCCAGTCACGTTACCAGCAAACCACACCCTCAAATTAGGCCATGCTCACAGAAATTTGAATCCCGCCCCTGGGTGGGAGGCATTGAGGATGAGTTTGTAGCACCAAGGGGCCGATGGACTGAAAAAGTTTGGGAACCACTGCTCTAGTTAGTAGTACAATATTACCGGAGAAAAAGCTATGCAGGTTTAAGTTAACAACTCTTAATGCCTTTTTGGCAATGTTGTTACAGTGGGCACTAGCATTTACTTCATCAGAGATGAGTACTCCAAGTCCCTTGGCAGAATGAGAGTCATCTAAGATCATGTCCGTCCAGCTTATATTTTATTTTCATATATATATATATATATGAAACTGGCACTAAGCCGAAAGCACCAGCCTGAAGATGGCGAGTGGGAAAGCACCAGCCTGAAGATGGCGAGTGGGACCTCGCCGAAACGTTGCCTAGATACTTTGAATCTTACGCGGGAGAAAACCCGAATAACCAAAGATCCACATACAAATACCCGCGAGAACCTATATATATATATATATATATATATATATTGCCAATATGTAAGACAGAGCATTTGTTGGTTGAGATTTGAAGTTGCCACTTGTTTGACCATTCTGACACATAGTCAAGGTCTTTTTGAAGTGTTCTTCTCTGAAGTCAATGCTGTGGTTCCTTACAAGATCCCCAGGCATTCCTATGGAGTACTTTTCATTATGCAACATCCCCATCAACTGTAAGTGTCTTACGGTGTCTTTCCATCTCTTACCTCTTACAGATCCGAGCTTACATTGGAGCATTTGCCCCTGATGAAAATGAGGCAGCAGATCTTACAGCCCTCCGTTTTTTCTCTGTCAATTCCATAGTGGATCCCTGGGTCTTCATCATTTTTCGGACATCCATATTTCGCAGTTTGCTCCAGCAGTTTTCTAGGAGGCTGAGTTTGAAGAAGGATCTGCATTCCCAAGATCAGCTCCTAGGAACTTATCAGAGGAAAGAATCCAATAACATACCATAAATGGGCTGGAGCTGGAGATGATGCAACTGGACTTCTTCTTGTGGCACATCGTAGTCTTCAAAGCCAAAGTATTGCAAGTCAGCGTTTATTAAGGTTGAAAAAAGGGGGACTTCCGGTGACAGGACAGGGACGTCCAGAGGTGGAGAAGCCCAGCTGTGGCTTTCGAACACCTCTTCTCGCGTTTGGAGCTTCGTGTCAGCATAGAGGACCCCCACGTTGCTGTTTGGGGGAAGGCAACCCCCCAGCAACAAAGGAAGAGCCTCTGAGACCAGCGCGAATGAGCCAGCCGCTAGCAAATGGCGGCTCCAAAGTCCGGTCTGTCACTGAACTGATGAAGCGAAAAGTGACAGCCTGAAAGATCCGAGCAGAAAAAGGCAGAAGGACTATAAAAGTCGTGACAGAGATCGGTGTCTGATCCTCCCTGTTTCAATGTGAGTAATGTGAGTTGTCGGAAGCTGGAGATAAGCGGCTAGAAAAGCGGTCTGAAAAGTGAAAGGGGGGACAAAAGCGGGTGGAGGGGCTCATTACTTAAAGTGAAAGTGTGGATTGGAGCGTTCGGAAGGAGATTGCCGGGGAGAGAAGAAGGCTGCGGGGAATTCAAGAGCCTTGTGAGTGGACTGCCATCTGAGACCAGTTCCTGAGAAGACTAGAAGATTAGAAAAGGGTTATAGCTGCGAAGGAGGGAAGAGTGGGGCGTAGAGAGTGGGATAGCGATCCGCTGACTCTTATGTGAAAGGTTTTCTGCCCTTTAGCAACGTTGCCTACAAAACTGATTTCTAACGTGACTGATTTGGAGCGGACACTCTAAGTGACAGTGGTCTGATAATTGCTGGCAGAAGGGAAGAAGAAGAGGGAAGAAGAAGAAGGAAAGAAACAGACGGAAGCCTGGTAAAGACTGATCGCTGAGCGCTGATAGCAATTAGTCAGCACTTCCTCTGCTCCTCTGGTACACCCAGGAAGAAAGACTATAAGGCAGAAACGCCAGCCTCAACTCAGACTTGTCTTCCTTTGGTACCAATTCCACAGACGCATGTCTAGAGACCCCTCGAAATCTAAAATATCCTTTTCCTTCCGCATCCTCTCTTTCTCCCTTTCTCTCTTAGTCTTTCTTTTCTCTCTACAATATTTATAAATTTAGGTATAAAGGTAAATTGCTTTTTATAGATATAAGTATTAACTGATTAGAGTGTCTTGAATATACAATAAGTCTAAGGACTGTTAAATATAGTTGACTTAGATTAACTGGAACTCTCAACATCAATACACAATATAGGATAAAGGTATATATAGAGTGAGAAATTTTAGAGTTGTTTGTAAGCTTTAAACAAGTTTGATTTGACATAGTATTGATTTATTAGTTGTAAAATATAATTAACTTTGGTATATAAACTTATTATAGAGAATAATATATAGTATTTGATAACATTTTATAATATTGGAATTTAAATCGCCCAAACGACAAATTGGGCCGAAGAAAGAGATCTAAAACAACGTGGTGGTGTAATTTTAGTAAACAGACCTGTAATCACATTCAAGGGGCTATAACGCCGAATGGTGATTTGGGACAATATACTTAACATAGTCCAATTGCAAAAACAAATCTTATTAGAGATGACTTCCACAACAACCACAGCCCTGAAAACGGGAAGGAAGAACACCCAGACCTTGACGACAACTTTGGCATCAGCCTCCCCAACAACACAGAAAACTATAGAAGAGACCCTGACAGGAGAAAAACAACCGACCGTTACCAATGCTAATTTACAAGCGACATTAGTATCCCTGCAAGAATCAATGTCCAGAATGCAGGAGATTATGATCAAGAACCACAATGAGACTAGAGCCGATATTAGCGAACTGAAGGAAGAAATGGGTAAACTAAAAGCGGAGATGAGAGCTGACATACAGAAAGTTGAAGAAAAGGTTGGGACAATGCAATTGGCCATGGAAAGAACTGAAATAAAAATAAAAGAAATAGAGAAGAGGACGGAACGAGCGGAGAAGAACCTAGAAAGGACTGAGGAAGACTTTAAAAACGTAAACAGAGAAATGGAAGATTCCTTGGTCCAACTAGAGATGGACAGAGCAGCGGCATACCTAAGGTTCCAGAACGTGGAGAAATCCAAAAATGAAGAACTAGAGCAATTAATGGCAGGTTTGCTGGCTGAACTAGTAGAAAAAGAGAAAGATGACTTACTCAAAGAATTTGACGAAGTCTATAGGGTGAATACCAATTATGAAAGGCGTCACAACTGCCCAAGGGAGATACATATCCGTTTCTCAAGAAGATGCGTGAGAGACCTAATACTGAGAATGGCCAGAGATGAGAGAATATTATATAAGGGCAAAGAGATCATTGTTCTTAAGCAAATTCCAAGAAAAGTGAGGGCCATAAGGCAAGAATATAAATTTTTAGCCAATTACTTAAATAAAAAAGAAATTTCATTCAAATGGCTAATCCCAGAAGGGATGTTAATATCGTGGAAGGGAAGAAAAATTAAAATTGATTCAATAGAACAAGCACAAGACTTCCTAGAACAGCTAACAACCACGGAGGACCAACATGCTAGGGAGGAAACTCAAAGGAACATGCAGGAAGACCGTAACCGCCATAGAAATAAAGAAGAAAGACCCGTCCAAATCCAAGGGAAAGACAACTCACAACAGGAAAGAGAAGAAACAACTCTATATCAACCACAAGAAGAGAGCCGTATAGTTACAAGACAAAAAGCGAAGCAGACTTAGGTAAATGGAGGAAGGAAGGAAAATTCTTTCCATCAATATAAACGGCTTAAATTCAAGACCCAAAAGGAAAAGGATTCTAACCAAACTAATTAAACAAAATGTTGATATAATTTGCATACAAGAAACACACATTAGGAAAAATGATGAGAAATTTTTAGATTGTCTGAAACTGGGAAAATTATTCACAGCACCAGCAGATAAGCACAAAAAGAAAGGTATTGCAATATATGTGAGAGATGACTTAAAAGCGGAGTTAATTTGGGCGGACCTGGAAGGAAGAACTCTGGTGGTACAAATTTCGATTAATTGTATTACATTTTTACTGGTAGTAATCTATGCCCCAAATGATGATCAAGGTAAATTTTTCAAACATCTCCACCAAAAAATAATAGGCTTCGAAAAAGGCAATATTTGTCTGATTGGCGATTTTAACTCTATTGCTGACTATTGGAAACATCACAGTAACACGAGTAAGAATAAAAAAGGAAAAAGAGAATTTTCGAAGCCATGTAAGGATATGATGAATGAATTGAATCTGGTAGATATCTGGAGAAAACTAAACCCAAAAAAAGAACAGTTTACTTATTATTCTAACCGACATAAAATCTGGACAAGAATAGATATGGCTTGGATAAATGGTGAACTAGTAAACGAAGTCAAAGATAGCGAAATCTTACCAAATGACTGGGCTGACCACAACCCAATTCAAATAACTTGGAGAGGTAGAAGAAACCCAAAGAAAAGATGGACACTTAACACCCACTTAATAAAAGAAGAAGAATACACTAACAAATTGAAAGAAGAACTCAACTTTTTTTTAAAGGAAAACAATAATGAATTAACCTCGAAACAAAATATATGGGACACAATGAAGGCAATTATAAGAGGAACAACAATTTCTTACAATGCTATGAGAAATAAAAGAAAGTATGCCCAACAAAGTAACTTACAACAAGAAATTAAAGATTTAGAAACCCAACTACAAAAGAACCCCAAAAACCAAAAAATACAAAATCAGTTAATGACAATTAAACACAAACTGAATTTACTGGAACAAGAAAAATTGGAGACAAGTCTGAAAATGACTAAACAAATCTATTTGGAGCATGCAAATAAGCCAGGGAGATGGTTAGCCCACAAACTCAAAAAAACGAAGGAAAAAAAAACTGATACACCAATTAATGAACGAGAGGGGCAACTTGAAAGATGAGATAGAGAAGAAAAAAGAGATTACCCATAAATACTTCGGGAAATTATATAAAAAGGAAGAAGTTAGTGAGGATAAAATAAGGAAATACCTAGAGGAAGCGAATGATAAAGCAATTGGAGAGGAAGAGATAGAACTATTAAACAAAAATATTACATGGTCCGAACTGAAGTCAGCAATAGAGAAGCAAGGCAACAACAAATCACCAGGACCAGATGGGATACCTGTAGAACTTTATAAAACAATCATAGAACAAATTGGACCACTGATGTTGGAAGTATTTAATGAGGTACTCTTAGCAGCTAGGATGCCGGACTCGTGGAGGGGAGCCTTAATTTCGCTGATCCCGAAGGAGGATCTAGACCATAGATTCATTAATAATTACAGACTGATTTCGCTCCTGAATGCTGATTATAAACTATTCTCTTCTATTATAGCTAATAGATTAAAACAGGTTTTAAACACACATATCCATGAAGACCAAAATGGATTTCTCCCATTTCGACAAATCAAGAATAATTTAAGAACAGTGATAGACATTTCAGAATTCTATGAAGCCCATCCGGAAAAACAATTTGCATTTATGTTTTTGGACGCTGAAAAAGCATTCGATAAGCTAAATTGGCATTTCTTAATACAAAAAATATACATAATGAATCTTGGCACTAGATTTGAAAACATCGTAACTACAATTTACCACACTCAACAGGCAAATATTCTAATAAATGGGGAACAAACTGGCCCAATAAAAATAGAAAAAGGGGTAAGACAGGGTTGCCCTCTCTCTCCTCTGCTTTTCATATTCGCCCTAGAATCACTTTTGACGTGCATTAGGCAAAATTCGAGAATTAGAGGACTGAGGATTAAATCAGAAGAGTATAAAGTACAAGCTTTCGCTGATGATATGGTTTTCTTTTTGGAGGAGCCTATAGAAAAAGGACATAACCTATTAGAAGAATTAGAACGATTTGGAGAAGTTGCAGGACTCAAAATTAATAGGAAAAAAACGAAACTAATGACTAAAAACTTAACAGGAGACCAGAATAAA